GACTCAGAGACACACTTGCCACTGCCATGTGGACATTTATCTCCAAGTCACCTGGGACCCACGCCCAAAACCCAATCAGTGGTCTTGACCTCGAAGACCTACTACCCATACATAGGTTGGCCTCTCTTCTTTGTGAATGGTACCGGCGTCTGTCCAGCCATACAAGACAGAAACTCAGGAAGCCTTGGCCAACATTGCTTATGGATGTTTACTTCCTACAGCCTCTCAAATGCACAGCATCCTTGAAACTAGCTGCTGTCCCTCTGGTCTGAGAGTGCTCATTTCCTCACTTGAACTTTAAGAGTCTGCATACCAGCTCTCAATTCTGGATCATCCCTCTCATCACTGAACAATGCTGTCTAATTGTATATCCTGTCACCCCTCACTATTCCCCTTTCACCCCACTGTACCCCATCTCTCTGAGCTAAAATCTGATAGTGACTTCCTAATCTCTTCCTAAAGCACAGATTCTTAAAATGTGGTGCTGGGCACCCCAGGTCTAAGTAGTCTCACAGTCTTTGGACTGGGTCGCTTCCATGCTTCCTTGTTCACTGGGCTCTAGCCATCCTGGATTACTTCTCTCACTCTTTTATTATTTACAATCTTATTTTATGTGTAGGTATTTCACCTGCATGTATGTCTGTACATCACATTCATGAAGTACCTGCGAGGCCAGAAGAGGGCGTCAGATCTTCTGGACCTGAAGTTACAGACAATCGTGAGCTTCCACATAGTTGCTGGGAATTGAACCCAGGTCCCTGGAAGAGCAGCCAGTGCTCTTAATTTCTGAACCATTTCTCCAGCTCGTGGTTTTCTTTTTTTCCTTTACATTTATCTTATTCCAAGTCGTCCTGCCTTCAGGCTTGTACATATACTTCCAACTCCCTTTGGACCTGGCTAACAACATAGACAGCGGTCAGATCATGGTTCAAGCTCATTTTACAGGGAGATGGTCATGACCTCCTGAGTGCTCTTCTTCAGGGCCCGTCTGCAGACACAGGCTTACAATGGTGCTCTTTTGGTAGATGTCTTCTTCAAACCCTTAAGCTCTGAGCTCAGAAGCTCATGCCACCCGCAGCCCAGAGCCAGGCACAGGGTAGTCCCAGCAGGAATAGTTACTGGATGACTAAATGAAAGAAGGCATTGTGTCGGCTTCCGTTGGTAAAAGATGAGGAAAGTGCAGAAGTTCCAAGAAAGCAGCTCATAAATCTAGTGGGAGGAGAGACAAGCCGATGAGAGGATGAATAAACAAGACCCAGGATGGGTTAGCGTGAGAAACTCGCAGCCTCCCACAGTGATGCTTCAAGCCAGCTCTCTGCCCCCAGGCTAGGCTCAGATCAGGTGTCTGCTGACTAGCTTGCCAACCTCTGGAACCCATAATCACCAGCATCTGGGCATCCCCGGAGTGGTCTGCCATGTACTCACCACTGGATCCCAGCCTTGGCGATGCTAGCTTATTCTGCCACAGATGGAGCAAAGTGGGCACACTTGAGAGGCCCTGCTGATAACAGCATTGTGTGGTTAGAACCAAGGTGCTCAGAAGAGCCCTTGGTGACCTCCTCATATCCTCAGACCAACCCCGGTGAGGCATCAAAAGGTAAATGGGCTTTCTTCTTAGTGGACAATTGGGAACACTGAAGTCAATAGTGATCACTTGACTTGGCTGAGGAATGGGAACATCTTAGGGACAGAACTTGGAGAAAACCCAAGGTCCTCTCTACTGACCAATGGGCAGTGGGGACACTGTACTGGGGCCTCTTCTGCTTATTCACTTTGGGGCATCTTCGGCAAACTACAGAATGTTCAAGTCGCTGGGCCGGAGAGATCACCTGATTCTCTGCCCTTTTCAGACCAAGAAGGAAACTTTCGTGCTTCCTTACCTCCCAGGCACCCTGGTGCCAGGTGGTAACCATTGTTAGCCTCTCCCAAGTCCTCCCTCTTCCCTTTGCCTCTGTGTCAGGCTGCTTTTCCCAGCTTCCTTCCCAGTTGGGTGAAGCCTATTGTCTCGTTCTCCCTAGTGTTCTGTGACAGGAAGTGAGGCATGCCCCTCCCAGGCCTGCCTCCTCAAAGTTTCTCCTGCTTGCCTCCAAGATCTTTTCACCTCTGGCTGATGGGAACCCTGAATCCCAAAGCAGAGTTGGAAGCCATGGACTATAAAATGGCAGAGCCAGAGATTGTCTAGCCCTAAAAGATCGTGAGAAAGGCACCTGGCAACCCTCCCATCAGTGTGGAAGGTTATGGGGTGAGCAAGAATGAAGCATCCTCACGGGGATGAAGGAGTCCTATTTGTTACTGCAAACCAAGGCGTGAACACTTCTCTAAATGCTTTGACCCCATGTAGTATAGGAGGCAGAACCACTGAATTCCTGCCGACATCCCTGACAGCCTTGTGGTTGCCCTCACATCCCTCTGCAGCCCCAGCCCACAGATCCCTCGAATTTATCCTGAGATGTTTCCAGCCTTGTTCAGCAAACAGACTCCAGGCTCCTCTAGTTCCTAGTAACAGGTACCTATTATGAATATCGGAGCACCCACGCTAGCCTTCTGGCCCTTCTCACCTTCCCCTCCAGGATGCCAGCTCTCAGGCCGTTCCCGGTCCCTCCTCCCGCCCTACAGCTACCTGTTCTTGGTGATGTTTTTCCCACCATTGCTTCACTCCCTGATTTTCTTACCCAACTTTTTTTCTCTCTCTCCTCCAAAGAGATAGCCCTGGCCTCGGCCAGTTCTCCTTTCTTATCCTCTGTCCCCAAGAGGAAGCCATGGCTGCTTTGGGCTTCCCAAAGGCCTCTGGCTATTCTTTCTTCCACATTTACAACACACCTTTCTAACAACTGCACCACAGAGGGGTCCGGTTGGATGGTTTCACTGTGCCCCCATTTATACGTCCTTAGCCTTGCCCTTGCACCTTAAATCACCAGGGAAAGAACAGTCTTAGCAATCATCCGGGATAATCTGTTCTATAGATGGAGAAAGGCACAGATCACTGAGCGGTGGTAAAATCAGGAAAAGAGGCAGTTTCCAATGTTTGCAAGTTTCTGTGCTAAGTGTGGCCTCCCTGCCGACTCCTCTTGCTTTGTCCTAGGAGATGAGAAGGTACTAGGTCCCATCTACACTATGGTCAACCTTCACAGTTTCCCCTGCATCTCCCCCTTTATCCACTGGTGAAGCCGGCAGTTACCCGGAATGTTCCGTTGACTTAGGTGGTAGAGAGATCAGAGAGATAAATCTAATGCTTCGGGCGGGGCAGGTGGCAGGCGCAATGCCCTGGGGTGTTGGCAGGAAACGTAAGATTCCCAAGTGAGCTTTCTGAAGGCACATGGGAAGCCTGGACAGGCCTTTTACCCCTTAAACCTTCCTGTTTGCCTGAAAGGGTGACTTGGTCTTTGGCTAGTCTTCCTTTCTGTTAAAGGGAGGGAGCTGCAGTGACCAGGGCCTCAGAGCACAGTGTACTGGCCTATTGGAACTTGTCTAGCTGAGTCTGGGCCGCTGCATAGTCCTGCCTTAACGGGAGCTGTGTCCAGAGATGTTAAGCTGAGCTCATGCCTGGATTCTTTCTTTTCCCTTTCTTTCTTTCTTTCTTTCTTTCTTTCTTTCTTTCTTTCTTTCTTTCTTTCTTCCTTCCTTCCTTCCTTCCTTCCTTCCTTACTTTCTTTCTTTCTTTCTTTCTTTCTTTCTTCCTTTCTTGTTGAGAGGTCTGAACACTTCATGTGAGACCTCAAAAGCTAGGTTTCTTTAGTGGTTTTATAAACCCAAACCCAAATTCTCTACTCTTTGCTCATTGGTATAAGGTGAACTTATTTATATGGAGCATCCTTTGTTTTCTGCCAAATGACTCACTTGCCCTGAGTCACCAGAAGATGGGTCTGGGCCCATCTGCAGCTGCCCTGGACATTATGATCCGCTCGTTCCCCTGGAGGTGGGTCTCAGAGACAGAGAGCTGCGGAGAAGCCTGTTTTCCCAAACACTTGGTAAACAGACAAAGAACCCTGGCACATCTGAGAGCATCCCAAGGGAGCTGTGGTTTTCATTTTGGTTGAGACATTGTCTGAATTATTGACAACTCTAAACTATGAGGTAAGAATGAAACCACGTGGTCACCCAGTGAGAAATCCTTTGTTGGTTCTCCTACAGTCTCAAGCAAGTTGGTTCCCCATTTTGGGCTGCTCTTTCTTTACTTACAAACTAAGAGATCTGGGTCCTAAATTTTGGGCATTGTGTCATTTGTCTTCTGAGAGCAGGGAATAAGGACACACAGAACTGGAAATACCAAGCAAATTTATTGACACCCAGTCTTGGAACATCTCCCCTAAAGGTTTCATTTCAACTTCAGTGTAGGCTGTGTATCAGTTTTGGTTAATTTGCATTTTGCTGTCCTTTTCCTTGCTATGGGTTTGCCTTTCCCTCAGAATCAGTTCACAGTTTTCTTTTCCCTGTGGACTGTTTGAATGTCCCAGCAATGACATCTCCGCAGAACACTGGTGTAAGCCAAAGACTGTGACAGTATTGGGAACCAAGCTTGTGAACCTTAAAGATGAGGGTTCTCACATCAGATACCCAGTGCGGCTGACAAAAGCTTATCACTAGCGCTGGGGACCCAAAAGGGCAGCGGTGGCTTGGGGCCTCTTCAGATCCTTAAGGGCAATGCAGGCAGGCACACAATGCGGAGCATGGTCTAGGCTCCACTTCTCTGCCCTCTGAAAGCACGCTGTAATACTCACCTGGCATCAATTACACCTACTTTTCACAGACCTACTGTGTGGCTAAGGAGCAGGGAAGCTGGGAAAGGGCCCCCGCCCCCGCCCCCACCCCATTCTATTTCTCCAAAACCCAAAGCGATGCTCCAGAGTGTGGGCCCATGACAAAAGTTACGCGGGGGCTCCATGAGCTCACCCGGGGGTTCCGTGAGCTTACCCCGGGGACCCAGACCGCCCCCGCCCTCTTCCTGCCCTCTCCCCGCCCCCGGGCCCCCGAGCGGGGCCGGTGATGTCAACCGAGGAGGAGCCGCCCGCCCCGCGACCCGCCCGGGCTGATTGGCGTGTGGTGGCGCCGGGGCCGCCTCCACCCTCCCGCGGTTCGCACAACTTTTGCGGCTGAAAGCGCGCTCGCATCCCGCTCCTCTCGCCGCCGCCCTCGGCCCGGCGCCCGGCATGTGAGCGCGGGCGGCCGCCGCCACCATGGCCTCACCGCGCACCCCGCGGTGGCCGCCGCCGCTGCCGCTGGTGCTGCTACTGCTGCTGCTGCCACCGCCCGCCACCCCCAGGATGCGGGGCCCCCTTCTCTCCCCGGCCAACCACGCGCTCCTCCAGGCCGTGGGGCCGCCTTCGCCGCTTGGCCCCGGACACACGGCCCCCGGGCCCGGCGTCACGACCCGGCGGGGACGGTCTGGCCGGATCCCCAGAGGCGTGAACGAGGGTGAGTGAGAGCCACTAGCGTGGGGCAGGGGGCGTGGGTGCTCCGGGGATAATCCGTCCGGGCCGCGGCTCCGTGGACCCCGGCGGGTGGAACTGTGAGAGGTGGCCCTGGTGAGAGAGACGCTGTCCCTGGCTACTACGGTGTACCCATGCGTCCCTTCCCTGAGCTTTGGAAGAAAACTCTCTCATGGGGTAGCCCACACCCCTGTCCCTCTCGCACCTCGTGGGGTGGTAACTTCTGGTTACTGTCCCTCCGTTCCAGCCTTTTCTCCCCCGACAGACGGAGAACTGGTCTCTCGAGGTCCAGAGCCTGACTTTTCAATATAAGTAAATAACGGATTTGGGAGTTTGAAAGGCTTCTAGCACTTAGGATGTCATGAAGGACAAAGGGTGCCCTAGAAAATAAAACGAGCTACCTAATCAACCTTAAGAGCAGGGGTACTTGGAGTGGGGGGTGGGGAGCTTTGATATTGAACCCCTACAAGACACTAGGGACTGTCCCACAGCCCTTCCCTCCCCAGCCAGCTGCTCTGCAGGCAGGCGCTGCCTGTGCTGGTCACAGAATGGGAACCCAACTCCTGTTCCTGCTGTCTTTGTTTCTAGTTCCTTTTTCTGGTGGGAGAAAATGCCACGGCCTGGGTGGAATTCTAATGCAATGCCCTTATGACCTTGGCAGTGTCCTGTCTTTAGATCTCGGTTTCCCCGTCTGTGAAGAGGAAGGACCCCATTCCTCGTAGCCTTCTGGTGATAGTGTGGCAAAATGAAAGTAAAATAATACAAAGTGCCGTGGACACAGTTTAGGTGCTGTTAGCCACTCATCTTCCTGTGAGAGATGCGGGGACACGCGCTGGACTCTGTTGTTGCTCCAGGGCTGGGACTGGCAAGGTTTTGTCCTCTTTCCACTTCTCTTATCTGTCTTGCATGGTTCCCAAACTTTCTGCCAGCTTGCTCGTCCTCCCAACGTAGAGGTACTTCCTAGAGTAGAGTAAGAAAAGATTTGCTACCCTTATAAAACCTCAAGGGCAAGTTCAACAGTACCCTCGCCTCCACAGACTGCCTGGTCCTTGTGAACCTGAGTCACTGGCCCAAGATGGGGAAACTGAGGAACCAGCCGAGGAGGGGAAGGCAGCTCTGAAGGTCCTTATAGACATAGGCTGTGCAGCCCCATGTTTAGTTGAGTTCCTGAGAAAAGAATTACAAGCATGGAAGACATTTACAGACTTTCCCTTTGTCGAAAAGTAACTGAGGGATCCTGGAAGGCATTCTGTGGGATGCTCCAGACACAGTGGTGTGTAAGGGACTGCTAACTCAGAGGGCCACTCGGTAACCCAAGGCAGGTGTCAGTAGCTGGTGCTCTGGCTGAAGGCTCCATCTTGTGGGGGGCTCTGAGGGAGGGTGGCTGTCTTGTGAGGTCCCGCTTGAGGAGGCCGACACAGGACTGCCCTTCCTAAGGCAGGGAGGGAATCTCCCCAGCTCTTGTGGCAGCTGAACTGGGGAAAAACCAGGTAGGAATTAATGCTTAAGAGAGCTGTGCTTTCATGCTTCCGTAGTGGCCAAGGTCTTGACTTTGCAGCCTTCTCTGTTTCGTTTATTTTGGGGGTGATCAGGATAGAGGCTTCAGGGAGAGGAGGAACCTGGGGGGGGGGAACTGGAATAATCCAGATTTTTCTCTGGGGAGGTCTCCTGATCTCCTCGTGTCCCAGCAGACCGTTGTTCACTTGGTGCCTCCCCTCTGCTGCCCTAACTGAGCCCGACCTGGGTCAGGGATGTTTGAAGAGAAAGTTGGGAAGAGGTAAAATCCAGGACCTGTTGAAAACGGCAGAACATTACCAGTGTGGCCAAGGATCCAGGCATGGCCTCTGTCCGGTTTCTGCTAAAGCCTCAAACAATGTCACGTAGGATAAGAAGGAAGCAACAAACACACAAATATAATACGCAGCGATTCGTGATTCAGAGAGCCAGAGTTTTACAATATCCTCTTAAGGTTTTCCTGGCCCGCTTTGATTGGCCACCACACACCGCTCAGTAAGAAGACTAAGCAAGGCCTCACATCTGAGGAGGTCCGCCTCCCTGGCACCAGGACAGAAGGTCATCCATGCTCTGTGTCCACACGGTTTGTGGGGAGGTGGGTGTTCCTGAAAGCAATGAGCCTTGTGTCACACAAATAATGCCCTTAATCTGATAGTTGGGGAAACTGCCCTGAGACACTTCTATGGGTGCTGGTGGCCAGTACCTGGCCATCTTAGTCTGGGCTTCCAACTATAAATATCCCCCCATGAGCAGCAGGGACTAGAGTTTTTTTTCCTTTCCTAGTGGGTCATTCTAGCTCTTCTCTTCCCACAGAGTTCAAGGTTCTCACTGCTGGGTGGCTGTTTGCTCTGTCCTCGGAGGAGAGCAGCCCCTGTTTGGATAGCCATTGTTTGCTTTCGTGCCCACCTGTCACTCTGTTCCGCTGTGTTTGTTGCTTCATCCGTCAGTGAAAGGAGGCCGAGAGCTGGATGCTTCCTTTCTGTCTCATTCCCTATGACCTAGGACCCCCAGCCACAGCTCTGAGCTGAGTTCTGCGTTTGACTTTTCGGTCCCCAGGCCACGCTTTTGGGATATCTGCCCATGGTGGAAGAAAGGCAGGAAGGGAGGCTGGACTCATAATGAGAATTCCCACCGAAGGAAAGAGCTGTCCCACGCATAGGGGAGAAGATGCTAAGTAGTTAAGTAACCAGTCCAAGGAATACTAATCTTTAAAAAATGTGGCTCCCTAAAGGAAGGGCTATGAGCCCAGCCTCTTCTGAGCTGTTAACTGGCTGTTCCCAAATCACTATAAAACTTCTGGCCCAACTTCATCATTTAGTTTGGCCGCCACCGGCACCATTGTGGGGTGCTATGAAGGCTGGGTGGCGAAGGGTCAGCCCTCTCAGGGATGGGAGAGTGTCTTTCCCCAGGAATGTGACCCTTCGGACTGAGGCTGAGAGGTGGTTACGGGCATCAGGATGCCAGTTTCTTTGATAGAGGCTGTCACAGGTACAGAGAGGGTCCTGGTGTGTGTGTGTGTGGGGGGGGTGTGCTGAAAAGCCTCATTCTTCAAACCTCTCTCCTGGTGCATGCAGATGCTGACCTCGTGTTTTCTGCACACCTGCTGACTTGTGTGGACAAGGGGAGACTTCGTTGTACCCATATCAGCTGGGCAGTTACTGCTTGCTTAGCCCTAGAACAAGCCCGGGACCCTTTACCTCCTAGTGATCTTGTTCTGTATTCCATTGACATTGGCCAGCTGTCTGAGAGTGTCCTTATCTGAAGTAGGAAAGAAGGAACAGCAGATGGTAGTTGCTGTGTCCTTAGCTACTCACTGCCTTCCTCAGTGTTTTCCCTCTGCCCCAGCATCCTCTCCATATGAGCAGGGCTTTTGAGCTATAACCAGTACCTTTCTTTGAAGAACCCGAAGGAGCCAACAGGGAAAGACTAACCCCTACCCTTGGAGCACCTATGTGGAGTCAACATGTTTACGTTTCTTACCCCATTTCACCCTCCAAACAGTCCTGCCAGGGGACCGTGTTTGTTTCCCATTTATTCTCCCTTTATGGGAAATGAAGCCTAGCAAGGTTAGGTCACAAGGAAAAGAAAGGATGCTGGATTTAAGCTAATTTCAACCAAGTTCATTAGCCCACCCCACCATGCTACAAGGTCTGTTCGTCACCCATAGGCTAGGACAACCTTGTTATAGATCTTTAGGGCCTCTCCAGCTCACCATTCTTGCTCTTGCCTTTGCCTAAGATTGGGGACCATGAGCTGGTGATCAAGATGCTGACAAGAGAGATTTTTTAAAGATAATTTTAAAACTATTTGTTTTTTATTATATGTGTGTGTGTTTGCACATGAATGCAGGTGCCTGTGGAGACCACAGGCATCAGATCCTGTGGAACTGGAGTTATAGGTGGTTGTGAACCGCCCAGTGTTGGTTCTAGGAACAGAACTCAGATCCTTTAAAAGAACATTATACACTCTGAACCTCTGATCCTAAAGTGGGTAGATTTTATTATTAGTTTTAGAGCCAGGAGGTGGTGGCACTTGCTTTCAATCCCAGCACTTGGGAGGTAGAGGCAGGCGGGTCTCTGAGTTCGAGGCCAGCCTGGTCTACAGAGTGAATTTCAGGATAGCTCCCAGAAACCCTGTCTTGAGAATAAAAGTTATTGTTTAGGAGCAGTGTGTGTGTGGGGGGGGGTGGTTGGGGAAATGCTCATAAAAAAGACTTAAGTCTATACATGTATAGAATGATATCTTATGTTTGTTATTATGATCTCTCTCTCTCTCTCTCTCTCTCACACACACACACACACACACACACAAACGCATGCACGCACGTGTGCATAGGTGATGGGCACCTGAAGTAAATACATTCTGTGGGCGCTTAGCTGGGCACATGGGACAGTGACTAACGCTGTGTGACACTTGTCAGCTGCTATCAGTACCTGTTCTGCTGCATGGGAAAACATTCAGAAGATGTCAAATCACTTTCATTTTCATGTCGCTGCCCCCTCTGGCCACTCACTTTTCATTTTCCCGTAGTCATAAACAAAGAGATTCCTGTCCTGTCTTTTCTCCCCTCCTTCTCAGAGTATGACAGATGTCTCCCCTCATAAAAATAATCCTAACATCTAACATCAACCCTCTCAGGGCTGGAGAATGGCTTGGTGGTTCAGAGTGCGTACTGCTCTTTCAGAGTACCGAGTTCAGTTCCCAGAACCTCACTGGGCAACCTCACAACTACCTGTAACTCTAACTCCAGAGGATCTGATGCCTCTGATCTCAACAGTCACCTGTATTCATAAGAAAACACACACACACACCAAAACAAAACACTAAAAATAACTAATTTTATATTAAAAACCTTCCTCTGCAGGTTGTCAACATCTTGATGACCACCTCATTCTAATCATGGTCCCCGATCTTACAAAAAGGCTAGAGTGTTGGAGATAACATATTCGATAGGTACTCTAAAATAACCAG